AAATAACCTTCAGGTATACACTACCCAAGAGGGTATAGAAGAGATTAAAAATAATCCTTAGGTATACCCTTCCCAAGAGGGTATAGAAGAGATTAAAAATAACCCTTAGGTTTACACTACCCAAGAGGGTATAAAAGAGACTATAAATAACCCTCAGGTATACACCACCCAAGAGAGTATAGAAGAGATTAAAAATAACCCTCGGGTATACTACCCAAGAGGGTATAGAAGAGATTGAAAATACCTTCAGGTATACACTACCCAAGAGGGTATAGAAGAGATTAAAAATAACCCTTAGGTATACACTACCCAAGAGGGTATAGAAGAGATTGAAAATAACCCTCAGGTATACACTACCCAAGAGGGTATAGAAGACATTAAAAATTACCCTTAGGTATACACTACACAAGAGGGTATAGGAGAGATTAAAAACAACCCTCAACTATACACTACCCAAGAGGGTATAGGAGAGATTAAAAGTAACCCTCAGGTATATACTACCCAAGAGGGTATGCAAGAGATTAAAAATAGCCCTCAGGTATACACTACCCAAGAGGGTATGCTACAGATTAAAAATAACCCTCAGGTATACACTACCCAAGAGGGCACGAAAAATTGAATTCACACCAATTTTTATCAGGACATCGCGCTTTGTCTGCAGTCTTTCTTTGAGGCATCCACCGTTAACGTATATAATTATTATCCTTTACTAGTTCCCGAATGTCGTTGTCAAGCTCGGCTATTCTTGACTGACATCTTTGCAATTTCCCATGATTTTTCGACTGGAGGCATTTCCCGCCTAAAGTATACGGTCGAGAGCGATTTGATTTACCGCATCAACAGCACGATTATATTTTGAGACCTCGCGAATCCATCTGCTGGAATTCTCCTTGTCTGATTAGTCCAGAACAGAGACCAATTGAAGATATAACATACATGTTGTTTGGTTACCTGGCTTTGAACGAAGAGCCTTTGTTGGTGCGCTTGAGACCTGCTAGCGTGAAGGAACGTATTGTAGTTATCGCGGAATCGATGAAACAATTCGTTCTTTGCAAAAGCAATCAGCCTGATTTTACATTAACTTTTCGTTAGCACATACCACTACTTTTCGGGGTCGAGATTGGATCCCGTAACTATAGAAAGCTCAGCTGATCGATCGAAGACTTCAGCCTCCATGATGAGACGATGAGATCGCGACAAGTAATTCCAATGCAAGATTTATTGTGTTTCGTAATTGACATTCGAGCATAGATGAAGTACTAATTATTTGGTGAACTTTTAACTTATAATCAACAGGTTTAAGTAACCGCACAGACACCTACTGACCGCAAGCGTTCATGCAATTCTCTACACTGATGACAGAAATATAGCACCTTCGCAGAATGCATGCTGCGAATTTTTTCGGGGCCAAAGCTGCTCATGTAGTTTTCACTGCATCAGAGACGACGGCGTCAAAAGCGGTTTCGATATGCCGCTTTCGATTTTAAGTCAGTTTGATTTCCTACAAATCGTACGTCGCTCATCGCAGTAAGTTGATAGTCAAACCGTACTTGCGTCTCCGTACGGTTGCAGGGTTGAGGCTATTGAGCATGTGGTCAAACTAACAATAGAGAACAATAGTCTCCACATGATTTAGCGCAAAAATATGTATGGATACTTCTGCGCAGACCTAACTTGTTCCAAGTTTTACATTTCCGAGAGCGAAACTTAAGGAGAACTGCAAGCATCTTTGCGTTTACTTCGCGGGATGTTCTGGTACGACTTTATGAACAATATTGAACATGTCCCTTTTTCTGCAACAAACACAAAACGCTCTCTCATCTTGAGTTAAATTTTAGAGGAAAACTTCTCGTAATGGACATAAGGTTTGAAAATTGGGGACCATCACTTGGGATATATCGTCGGATATTTCTCAGTTTTGGCTGGGGCATATTCGGTCACGTGATGAGATTGATTAAGACCAACCGCGCGCAAACAAATACATTTGATGGATTATAAATAACATCAGACTTGGAAGAAGCAAGTGTGACTAAAAAACCTTTTTAATGCATGTAGCAACATCTTATCTACAAATTTTAATCAAAACAAGAATTCAATAGGATTCAGTTGAATTTAGTAAAACGTGGAGATTAACAGAAAAAAAACAAGGGAGGGGAGGATCAGTAAAAGAAGGGGAGTGGGGGGGGCGGCGAGGTTAAAAATGTAAATAACGTCTTTTTATCTGCACAAAGTCTCCACTCAGACTTAAGGTGATTCCTCAGAAAAAAAAGTTATCGAACAATTTTTTAATTATCCTAAAATGTTCCCTACCATTGTCTGTTCGAAAAATACAATAAAAAAGATACGTCACCCTGCTTGTTTACGAGACATATTGGGCCAAACTTACCCCATTTATGCCTGTACTAGCACTAATCACGCGCGTCATTTCATCGGTTCACAGTACATTTTACTGCAGCTAGAAGCAAGGGTATTTAAAGAAACACTTGAAAAACTTGATAGGTAGAAAGTCTCGAGCGTATGGAATAATTTGATATATCATTTGGGAAAATCACGCAAATTCAAATAACACCGACTTAATGTTCCTCAGGTCATTCCTTTCAAGATCATAATTTTCTCAATTTAAGGGAGATAAATTGTACGCCAAAATTATGCAAAAGAATATATATGTCACTGTGCTCTTTTAAGAACGAAAGACCATCGTACCTTTTTATCGGTCCATGGATTGAAAAACAATACCGTATTCTCGGAATGCGCGCGCGCTCATTCCCCTAATGACGTGATTTTTATGTGCAATACAGGATGCGCGGTGCAAAACTGAGGAATCACCTTAATTTAGCACACTGGGTTATAAAGTAATGTAGCCAAATTGGAACGTTTTACTTAAAAATTTAGGCAGATGAATGTAAGTTCTGTCGGCTGCGGGAAAGGTTCCTTATGTAAACGTGCCGTACAGAGATGGCTGTACTTTGAAAACCTGGGCCAACATAAATATAAACATTATAAAATAATGAAAACATCGTCTCTTTTTACAAAGAGAGCACAAAAGACAACCGTGCACACGACGTAAATAAAAACTAAGTTGGCCAATTTAGCTCTTAGCATTGTATTCTCGTATATTTTCAGTCCCACACAGTAAGTAACGGTGAGATGGCTGATCTTTAGTCGAGCATTCTCTTCTAGCTGCTATACACTTTCTTCTACTTTGGTAGGAGAGTTTGAACTTCTAACAAAATAGCATCCTATCTTTCCTAATTTTCTCGAATCTCAATCCTTTCAAGCAGGAAGGTTTTATGACTAATTTCTAGAGTAAGAGCGTTGAGGTAACAAGTGTGACTCCAACAGGGCATGGCTTCTTACAGGAAAGTAAGTACAGTTCGTGGAACAACTCTTCTTTGCTGTGATCGTTTATGTGGATGCTAAACACCAGTCGACTTGAGGAGATTAGAGTCTGAGTAGGTTCGCTGAGATATGAGTCCAGGGCTCCCTTCAAACGACCCAGATTCAACTGATAATGGGGTGCTTATCAATAATCTGTAAACAAAAGTACCAATATTGGGAGCAATTTTCAATCGATTGTCATGGGCAATCAAGGCTTGCATTGGTTTTGCTATACTCCGCTCTTAATTTGGCTAAAAAAATCGTCGAATTTCTTCTAGGTTTTGTAAGTGTTCACAAGGAGTAAGAGGTATGTGCCTAATATCGAATGGTGACGAGCGAAGCTAAAAAATAATTTCAGACGCGTTTTGAACTAGGCTGAAAAATGCATAAGAACTTCATAATTCTAAGAGTATACAACATACAGCAAATTACGCCAGAAATTGGGGGTTTTTTGACTAGCATATTGTGTTAAGAAGTCCATAGACTCGCTGCATTGAAAAGTTAAAGCGAACGTTAAATTCCCTGAGTTTTTAACATGTTCCAACTAAATTGTGCAAACAAAACCGACTCTACATGACCTTCATTACCGGCCACTTTCACTAAGAGCGTTGGAGCCCCCTTTTCGAACTAAGTTACCATCAACTTCTTGCTAATCCGCATGAATTCCCATCAAGAAAATAAAATCTTCCGTCTCAGCTGACTCGAACTGCCGGGCATCTCAACTACATTTTCGTTTCTTATCAGCGGTAAGCGTCAACTTAGGCTTCACCGTCGAGGTCAACATAACCAAACTAGACATGACTTCAAATACAACGCTTATGTAATATGCATATAAATACATCTCTGGAAGAAAATCATTGCACAGGAATGAAAATACTCTGCAGTAGTCTACCTGATCACTTGGCAAAAAGTATTATACTTTACTAAGAGGCCACAATTTACCACATTAATAATAACAAAATACTAGTCTGCGAGATAAATATCAACTGCGGCGGTCACAAACAATAAGTTACGCTGTAATATCTTACATAAAAAGCTGTTCAAGTCACATTCGTTACAAAGGTTTAGGGACTGTTTGTTAAATTTTATCAAGTTTTTATTAAAGATGTTAACTATTATAGTCATGTTATAAAATAACCAACGAATTGGTTGACTGTAAAGTTGACTGTTTTATCTCCTTCCAAGTTAGTTACGATATAGTATCAATTGAAGAATATATTTGCAAAAAAAAAAGTTACAAAAGATTTTTTTTCTTTTTTTCCCATGAGGAATAGGGAATATTACTTAATCTTTATTTATACTCGCACGTTTTTTTTTCAGATACTTACGAAAAAAGGATATTTTTTAAAAACCATGTTTATAAAAAAAATTATAAAATGCTTAATTTAAGTTATAATTATTATTTTGAGTTGATATTTTATTCTTCATTCTATTCCACTTTATTGGCTATATAGTGTAATTATATGGTCGCACTCTGTGTCTGGTCTCCAAACTTGAACTCAGGATTCTGCGAAAACTGCTCTGAAGAACTGTGGTTTGAAAAGGCTGAGTGTCAGATGTTCGACGGTACATCATCACACTTTGAGAGCTGAGAATTAAAACAACAGTTTACCGAGTTTTATTTTCTAGTTTGTTAGTAATGAATTTATTTAAATTGCCCCTAATCCGCCGTGTTTATTCATTCATTTATTTGTTTATATGTTCATGTATTTGTCTGTTTTTTTTTCATTTATCTTATCATTTATTTATTCATTTTTAATCCTTTTATTGTACATTCATTCACTTATAATTTTATTTATTTATTTATTTGTTTATGATCTTTGTTTTCCTTTCACTTTCAAATGTTTATCTACATTTATATTTCTATTAAAGGGTTCTTGGCAAGTACAGACGAGAGAAGAATAAGGCGAGCGGGGGAATTGCGGGTAGGAAAATGGCTTTTACTCAAACTCTTTCCAAGTCCTATCGCGGTTTTCGTTCGCTCTACGTTTCTCTCCACCGACAGAGACCCTAGCACAAATTTAAGTCAAATTTGAATCAGGTAACACTTACCCGGCACTGGTGCTACTTGGAGGAAAGTGCGGCACTGGTGCGCGTTCTTTCTGCTTCTGTCTCTTTTTCATCAAAAATTTACCTATGGAAGACTAAATAGGAAAAAAAAATGGAGATAGTTGCTTAGATAATGAACACTTCTAGACCAAGAAGAATGGGACTGAGTCATTTCTGGAG